AAAATGTCTTTCCTTTGAGGTCATTTGCACCTCACTTCCAATTTCCTGAAAAGCTCATTTAAAACAGTCCTGTATTGAAACCTATTTATGATCTTTCATTTCTGATGCAGGGATCCGAGACCCAGAATGTCCCTTCCGGTCTGTGAGCCTTTACTGTCACATCGACTGTGTGAAATAATCCCATTATTTTATCAGATTTCATCTTAATCGCTAGGCTTCCTGGACCTCATTATTCCTAAAAGGAAGTTGTTTCAAATTCCAGTAATGTTTTGATTATCCTCTTAAACATCATGCTCTTTTTCCTCCCTGATATTTAACTGCAAATATATTTTTAAAAAGAAGTCACAAAATCACAGCTTTAGTTTTTACCATGCTAAATAATACTCTTTCAGCCTCCTGTCACGTCATGCTGGTAGCTGTTCCTGGTTCCCATTCCAGCTGGCATTGGGCTTTCTGGCTTTGTCTGTGTGAAGGCTCACCAGTGACACATCAGCAGTGGCGTTATGTTTCCTTACCTCTACTGGAAATAATTCTCCTAATTCATCCTAATAATACATTTGTTTGATTCAGGGTGACATTAAATGGTTAATTAGAACCATTTGTAGTTCATAACCATTTGTAGGTCAAGAAATATGGTCAGATATTCTTTCCTTTTCTTCACCCGTTTCTTACTGATAACCCTACAGCACTTCAGTTAGAAAAGGCCTATTTCTGGTCTGTAAGCATATGTTTTTGCATCATCTGTTACTCCAGCCCAAAAGGTGGTCCAGTTTCTTAGGTAGTATTTGGATCATAGAATCTTAGAATGGTTTGGGTTGGAAAGGGTGTTAAAGACCATCGAGTTGCAACCCCCCTGCTACGGGCAGGAACACTCTCCAGGTTGCTCAAAGCCTCGTCCAACCTGGCCTTGAACACTTCATCTTCTGTATTGACTAAGCTTCCCTACATTGTAATCATCCAATGTCATTAATCCAGTCCTAGCTCTTAATTCCTAAATTAGACTGAGAATTGTCCCAAAGACAACTCTCAAGATCTTTAATTTCTAACTTTCCTCCAGCTGAATGTTTCCCTTTCAACATGGTCTGTGATCAGTCCCCTGCCTCCCTGTTTTCCAGTTCCTCACGCATCTTAAAATTCCTATGCTGATATTCCTCCTTCCCTCCTTAACTAGTAATTTCACAGGGGGAACCTGTTATCACTGAAGTGCTTTCTTGATTCAATTGTTCAGGCACAATTCTGTGAGGTATTGTCCAACTGGTAGAGGGTACTGCTGCTGAGCATCCTCCAGTGTCATTACAGTGATGGGAGCAGAGAGCCTGTAGCATGTTTCAAAACGTTACTGATTTGGGCCATAATTCATCGTAAGGACCCCTCCTCAGCAGGATATCAAAGGTCTGCTTCTTCTTGCTATGTTGGCTCTAAGGAATTTACTTTGTAGACTTTAACTGCAGGTTTCATGGCTGCAGTCATAATGCAGTTGCCATTTAGTACTTTTCTCAATCCATCTTTTCCAAAGCTGCAGTGCAGTGTCTCCTGACTCTGTTTCAAGCATGGATTTTCAAAGTCTCATGCAAAATGCTTAAAAGCATTTCTAACATAGTTTTAAAAGTAGAAAACCAGCTTAGAGCTGTGCATTAAGCATTTGTAAATTCTCCCACCTCTTCAACTGATTTTACCTTTTTTTTTCTTTTTTTTTCTTTTTTTTTTTTTTTTCCAAATAGCAGACATATGATGTAGGCTGCTGGTTTTGGTAGTTATAACAACTAATTTTAAAAGATAGTTATATAAATTTGAATACCATTTTGCTCCTCTGTTAAATCTGGGTGAAAGAGCTAGTGTGGCAGCGTCTGTCCCTTTAACATGCATTATTGTATTTGCTGTGATTTTGCATAACAAAAATATTGTGAAGCATCCCTAGTATTCACTGTGTGTAAGTTTTGGCAGGTGGAGTATGTCACCGTTGTGTCAACCATACTATACAAAACATGGGAAAAGGTCATCCCTGTTTTCAACTTCCATCTGTGTATTGCTGGGTCAAAGGAGGCAGTAGTCAGTCAAAAAAAATTTTTTTTTTTCCCCTCTTAAATAGCTGTAGAGTTTATGTTCAAAAAGAAAAGAGGTTGCTTTTCTGTTGTAGAAGTTTTCCTTCCCTAATAAAATACAGAAGTCTGTTCATGTATTATTTAAAGGTCTTCCAAGAATCCCAACTACAATACTGGTTGAAAGAGAGGAGGATTAATATCATTTAAAGGAGAGAAATGGAAAATCTTTAAGGTCATTTCTTTTCATGACAAAGGAACTTAAAAAGCATGGCAGACAGGATCTTCAAAGGTTTTTAAAGTCCTGTCATCAGCTCCCAATCAATAGAAGCTAGATGGCCAAATTAAGAGTTCAGTTCAAGTCTTCAAAGATATTTGAGTGCTTAACCTGCTTTTACCTTTCAAATCACATACAAGGATAAAATGGCAGTTCAACTGAAAACACTCAGGTGCGATAGTTTCATGTCCAGCACCAGGATAATTCGTGGCACCCATTGATAATTAGCATAATGGACACTTCCCTTACAAGTTAATTACTTGTTTGAATATGTGTAGTGTTAGTCTTGTTTACAAAATTGTTTTCCTTTGTGAATCAAAAGGTTTGCTATAAAGTTTGTTTAATACAGAAAAAAACCAGAAGTAAACATTAAAAAGTGAGCTAATAAAATAGCATTAATGTTTACAAAGGCTGATGGTTTCAGGGGATTTGCAAAACTCCCGAGTCTGTGTTCCCTAAGGATGCCCATGAAAACAATTTCTCTGTAACGTGTCGTACTGACACTGTTCTAGGCTTTGACTTTTCCTGTCTGTGCTTGCACATCTGCATGTGCAGGATAAGGCTTCTGCCAGATAACTGAAGTTATTGTGAATGTAAAAAATTAAAAGACCTTGTGTAAATGTATTCAAAATACGTTGCCTAACATAGATCTCCCATGCACTGTTAATGCCTCTCAAAGTTTGCCAAGCCTCCACCTAAAGGGGGGATCCCACGGAGAGCTGTATGGTACAGGCAGGACTACCCCTGCCTTTATTATTATTATTTTAAAGTATTTGTAAAAATCTTAGATGGTTTAGATCTCCTTGAAGTATTCTGTCCGATAGCAGCGCCTGGGGCATATAGAGTGGAAGTGACGGTGCCCTGTGTTAACATGGAATTGCTGTTTGTTTACGGTCTTGAGTCACCGAATCCTTCCTGTCAAGCAGAAAGCTATAATGCAGGCACTTACCATCTCCACAGCCTGCTCTTGAGTGACATCAAAACATAAGCTGGAACATTATTGTCATATGCCTTAAGAGTTTGTGAATGGGCTGTGGATCCCGAAGCCTGGGGCGCTGAGTAGCATGTTTGGTCTTTTGGAGGAGCAATTCTGCCTTTAGTCCAGCATTTGCATCTTGGAGACAGTTGTCACAGCTGCTCCCAGTAATGTTCACTGTCATGTTTTTTAGTGCAAATGCCTCTCATCTGAATAGCTAGGCAGTGGTTGCACTCCACGTTTTATAGATTTTCTTTTTGTTCTTTTATCAATCTGGCCTTTGTTTAGAGTCAGTGCTGAGAGCCAGTTGCTTTGAGGCTGGGAGGTGGACGGGGCAGAGCAGACACATTCGCTTTCCAGCATTTACGCCTGACTTGGGGCCCTTCATCACTCTAAAGAAAGCACAGCCCCTGCTGCCCCCCTTCAGCTGGGCTCCCAGCACCAGGACCAGCCACGGGATTCTCGCTCCCGCCCCTGCAGAGGGGTGACTGCTGTGCAGGAGGAAATGAGTCTCAGCAGGCACAAATCTATTGCCTGGGTTTTTGTTTCCCATTTGAATGAAATGGAAAGAATAATCTGAGCAGTTTCTGAGAATGAGGGATGTAAATCTGTCTGCTGATATTTATACCGTGCTTGTCACTACGGTGTCTAAATGCAAAATACATACTTGCTGCTTAACCTGAGGTGGGCTTCAAGCTGCTGGGGCTGTCAGGAGCAGGCGTGTACCGGAGCAACAGCAGAGAGGATTCCCAGGAGAGGTCCAAGTTTCATTCTTACTCCTGCTCTGACTGGGGCAGGTTGGCTGTGGGGCATGAGGCTGTTGGGGTGTTGTGCAATGAGAGGGTGGTAGCGTGGACCTCCCCGCTTGACACGGTGTTGAATGGTGACCCAGAGGAGTGACTTGCAGCAGTGCAGTAAGCACCTGCTTTACTATGCAGTAGTATTGAAAGGGAACATTTTGTGTCCTGAGCCTCAGAGACAGCACTGTGAGTGCTGTTCTTTGGAGGGGTAGACAGCAGCGGATAAGCTGTGTGGGTGTCTTTTGAATGAGGCATAAAAATGGGTCTGTCTGTTCTGGATGGATATTTTAATAAGCAAATATCTTCCTTTGCTTTTATTTGAATAAGATACCCCCTTTCTGTCTGATCTCTTTCAAACATGCTTCATTTTCACCACGTGTGCCTACGTATTATTCTTTATTCCCACATTTGACATTCAAAAATATTAAAACCACTGATTCACTGAAATACTTTTTAAACTGTTGTTAGTCATTTTTTTATTGACTGAATTTTTCATTGGTAATATTGTTGGCAGCAGTCCATGTCTGCCTGGCTGGAGGCCAGTTTTAAGCTCGGCAGGATGGGCCCTATTGTTCAGCAGACTTGGATTTTGTTAAAGTCTCTAACAGAAATATGTGTCAGGAGATTTGCAGCTATAAATTGGATCATGTCGGTGAGGTTGGGAACTCGCTCAATACGAAATTGAACATTTCGCCATGCCTGTTGCTAAATATGTTTATGCATGTTTCCTCCCTGGGTTTAAAAAAAAAAAAAAAAGAAAAAAGCTAGACCTGTTGAGCTCTGACTTTACCTTATACAGCTGGTACTTTCTTTGATGTTGAGTGGTTGAAAAATGCAGCAGGGCTTGGTTTTGTGCATTGCCATGTTAAAAGCAAGTCTATTTTCCCTTTTTTCTCTGTGTGTTACAGGCAGTCAGATGCCACCGCAGCCTCCTGGCAGCCAGTCAGAATCCAGCTCCCACCCTGCCTTGAGCCAGTCACCAATGCCACAGGACCGAGGTTTGTTAGGTGTTGGGGGTTTTTTAGGTGGTGCCAAATGCAGCCTTCATTTCAAGTTGCACATTAGCAGTGTGAGATTTCCTGATATTTCTTTTGTTTTCCCAGGGAAAATAATGACAGTCCTCATTGCAAAAGGGTCGGGGGGTTTCCTTCTCTGGGGAAAGAGCAACTGAATAGCAGGTTTTACCAAAATATAGTTGGAAACAAGGCTTTCTCAAAATACAGTGGATGCCCAAAGTATAAAGGCAGTTTGCTGTAAATACTTGATTCATGTCCTAGATAGTTCAGCTTCTTGATGTCTGTCTTGAAATTAAGATGTATAGAAACAGTGTTTGCTACAAGCACTCCAGTTTTACTGCTGTTCTTAAAATTCCCATCTCTGTTGTCTTCACATGGACATGATAGCTAGTCCTCTAGCCAGTTCTAGAAATAAAAATATCTGGAAATATAAAGGGAAATCAGCTATTTAGGTCAAATAGTTCAAAGATTTGGAAATCTTCCAAGGAGAACCTTGCAGGCAACAGCACTGTTCTAAAAGAGTGGTTCCTAGCAAGTGCCTACCAAAATAAACAGAGGATTTTTTTCTCTTAGTGTTGCCATTTATAAACTTTAAACCCTCTTCTTTTTGCCTCCTTCCTCCCTCCCGTGAAAGATAGTTGTCACAGCTTTGTTGCATGGCCATACGATCAACTGCTGTAAACTGGACATCCTGTCCATGCAGTGGTTAACATGTGCCAGTGACAAGTTTGCAAAACAGACACATGATAACTGTGATAAACATGGAGTTATTTATGAAATGCCCCTCCTGAAATGTCTTGCTACCAGAAATATTCCAAGTAGCACCATATGGGGATACCATAAATACTAGAAGTTTTCTCACAGTGAAACAAGTTGAACTCACAGAATGACAAATTTCTGGGATAGCATCCAGGATGAACTAAGAGGACTAACAAAGAAGAGGAAGGAGTCTTAATTTTTGCTATTTTTCAGTGTTGGATGCCCCCTTCTCCAGGAATGCTGATTAATGAGAACATGAAACAGAGAATTCCACACTCAACTCGTTTGTTTTGTTTCCTTTTCTGGTCTTTTATTGTACACCCTTGTTAGTGCAGGGACTTACTTTTCCCTTAAAAATTTTTAGAGTAATAAACATGTTTGGAGAAAAAAGAATGGCCTCAGTACCCAATCCCAATACATGGTGCTTTGTGGAATAAATGTCACAAGGCAGTCGGAATGGATCAGATTGGGGCTATGAAGACCCAGGGATCTCGGAAGGATGTGTGCATTTCCTGGCAGAACTGGGTCTTGGCACAAAATGTTACACTGCCCAGTAATAATTATTTCTGCAGTGTGCGTTCCTCACCTGGCTTTGGGGGACAGGTTAGGCAGAGTCGGACAGAGCGGGAAAGATGGAACCTCTCTGTTGCTGCTGTAGAACAAAACTGGGGGTCATTGTATGGACGGGGGGTGGAGCAGAGGGGGATTCAAAAGTGGAACAGAGGAGACACCTGCCCTAACTGGGAAGTCAAACAAGTAAATAACAGTGAGAGAAATAAAATTTACAGACTGATTTAGTCTGGCTCTTCCTCCATGCAGGGGATGAGAATTGTGGGTCTTTAAGAAAATGTGTTTGGAAATATTGCTGTTTTTGCGGTCTTCATATGCAAAATCTGGTGTAATATGCATGATCTTTGTGACCCAGCTTGTACAGGAAGTCTATTTGTTTCATGCAGCAGATACGAAATTTGTAACTAGCTGGGTTGTATTGATTTTGCAGAACGTGTTCCCCAAAGCTTCTCTAAAGTCTGTGCTATACGGGCATAAACATGTGTGCATTCCCTTTTGCACCCTGTCATTGATTAGAAGCTCCTTTGAAATGGAAAACTTCACCTTTTAAAAAGGCTGTTACATTAGCTGATTCCTTTGCTTGCTTGAACTGCTTTCCACTGAACTTGGAGAAGGGAAGGAGGGGGAGTGATGGGGACTCAAAGAGAAGGTGCTTTTCATTTACTGATAAAAACCTGAGCAGAAAATCATTGCTGCTAAGGACACCTGATCCATGGGCATCTGTTACAGTAATTTAAACTCTTGTCTTGCTGATACAGTTTCTCCCAAAAAAGAAAAGAAAAAGATTAAAACAAAAAACCCAGAGACCCTCTGTAGGATAAGGTAGTGTTGTTTGTTTTAGCACTTTGTGTAACATTTCTTTCCTTGTTAGGAGAATTAAATGGACAAAAGACTACTAATCGTTTTTTGAGTAGAATCCTCTGCTCCCAGTACTTGAAAAAAAATGTTATTTACCAAATATTGTGAAGCTTGATTGACAGCTGGCATCTGGGCTGTAGCATTTCTGGGTGTTAAACCACTACCTGGAACCATTAAGTTTACTCTTATTTATTTTATTATGAAAGTGTTTGATTATGTTTTACCCTACTTTCCATGGTTACTCAGCACCCAGCTGGGATTTTTATGTTTGCCTGCCTAAGGCTATACATCCCCTGTCATACAGTGCAGCATGAAGCAGTGAGCATATTTTTACATGCACCTTCTGTGTGTGGAAGGAGGGGAGCAGTAAGTTAGGTACATATGTACAGTAATAGGAATTTCTTGGGCAACTGGATTTTTTGTGCTCTTCAGCTTGCTTTTTATATATAGCTTATTTCATACTTTTTATTATAAGCATAAAAATGCTTAATTTTAAAAAATAACTTCTGAATTTTTCATGTGCTGCTCAAGCTGTAGGACATTTGGGCCTGGGTCAGCATAAATGCAGTACGCTATTCTGGGCAGGCCACTTATCTTTTCCCCCCAAAATCAGTAACTGGCTACTGTTGTTTGATGCCAAATCTATGAAACTTTTTCAGTTCTACCAACACACTTTGTCTACCTAGGCAGTAAGAAATTGCATGTACTTTTACGTGCATAACCCAGGTATCAGCTCATGTGTTTTTAAGTCCTCTATACCTTAGTGGAAGTGTTGGAGCCGGAGAGCTCTGGAGACAGAGCAGGCTGTGCAGGACTGGGGGCAGAAGTCTGCTGCTGAATCCCAGCAATTATCGTTACTTGGGGATACCACGTGAAAATGTGGTCATAACTAATTAAGCTAGTAATTGAAACTTGCTGTGCTTTTGGAGGGAGGGGGATGCATGATTTGCTCTTTGTTTCTGCTATAGCTACTCCAGACTTTCCTTTACTGTGATCAAAAGTAGGGGTTTGATTTTTCATGTTTATTGAAATCAAAGCTTTTTATAAACTTTAGTTACATCAGCCTCCAGAGGTAGGGCAGCAGTAATACCACAGCTGTCATAACCATTTGGCAAATGATTGGGGTGCAATGTCGCTTGAGTTCCCTATATTCAGCGGTACCTACTTACCTATCTGTGTGGGTTTTGGAAGCCGTATTTCGAGGATGTGCTTAGTAGCCAAAGCTGCTCAGTGGGTTAGAAGTTATTTGTATTGATCAAATAGAAACCCAGCACATCCAAATTGACCCCCTAAATCAGTTTCCTGAAGCTGCAGCGTGAAAAAGAAGCCTTCCATCTGGGCTGTTAGCTTGTACTGCCGCTCTTACTTTTGTAACCTAACAGAGATGTCCGTCTGCATATATGAATATTCACCTGTGCAAACCAGTAGGAGAATATGTGGCACAATAGTGTTTTTACCCTTTACTTTTACTCCTGCAGAAATGAATGGTTCCTTACCTCATTTTGAGAAAGCTTAGAAAATTTACCCGTGTTTAAGTAATATTTTTCATGCTTATCCAGTTGGATATGTACATGTCAGGTTTCAGTCTTGTATTAAAATAGTGAATTGGGAGCTTGTGAAAACCATTGAATTTAATGGAAACAGTTAATGACTTCACATTATTAACTCTAGTGAGCACTCTCATAATGGAAATACTTAAAGAAGCCTTATTTATTAGTGCAAATGTATATGAGTCAGAATTAATTTTTAAAAAATCTGTAATTGTTTTCCCCTTATAATTTTCACAGCGGTACATAGTTAAATATTCATGATAATGCTGATGATATGCTAAAGGTCTGAAATAGATCGGGAGTCTCAAAATCAACACAGGTTATTTAACCCTTTTCATCTAATGCACCATTGGGGGCTTGCTCAGTGAAATCCCAGAGCACTGGAATAATTAGAAGATAGTAATGAGGATTTAATTAGTCCTTGAGATATGCTGAAATAGGACCACTGAGAACTTTTCTGTTTAGACATGGATTGCAAGCAGAATTGATGCCGTTGCAGCTGCTGTGATGTGCTGGAAAATGTATTCCATTGCTGGAGGCAGTTTGATGGCACCATTCTGTGCCTGTCAGATCTATGTGGAAAGTGCCTGGAGTAAGCACCTCCAAAAATGTTTAAGAGTAGCCTTCCTCTTCTCCGTCACCTCCTCCCAATCCCTTTTCTTTCTTCTTTCTTTACGTCGTTCTTTCTGTTCTAGCTTTATTTCCTTCTGTTGTTGGCATGATCCAGATTTTGAGGATTGTTGTTCGATTGTATGCTCTATTAAAAACATCACAGACACAGACGGGGAGTAAGAAACTGCAGGCTTGTATGAGTTCAGGTGTTATCCTAAGCAAAATTTGAATCTTTCTGACACAACTAGTTCTAAGCTTTATCCTCACATCTAGTCCTTATTTAGTATTAGATCTTCACAGAGTGATATTTATCAATAGCTGCGATGTAGTAAATTTAAATAGCTTTTTTGGCAGCCAAGATGTTATCCAGCAAGAGATAGTAGCAGATGGGATGTGATCAGGCATTTTGATGTTCTCTTTGTGCTTCCCTGTAAACACTAAGTAGCAACTGAATTCCTGTAACTACAGTTTCCTGATTTGTCCATTAGATTTCATATAGGTATTTTTATCCTCTTTGACTGTTTTCTGGGCATGCTTATTTGTATGCAGTCATCACATAAATTCCACTGTCATGTATTTTCTCCTAACAAAATATAAATGTTTTTGCTTGCATGGAAGACAGAATACCAGTCT